TTATGTTTCTGTTCCTTTTCACTTATTTCTTAGTAAATATTATATATATCTGCTTGAGGATATTAATTTAATAACATTTATTAAATAGTATAACATTTCATTGCAATAGACACCATAAAGAGCCTAAAATCCCAGGTATCCAAAACTTTTCTTTAAGAACGAAGCAAAATAATGTTGTCAAATTAAAGAGTACAACTAAGATGTAGCGCGACAATGAAAGTAGCGTGTATTACGTTTAGTCGGTTAATCAGGCGCCATTGACAGCTCTCTCGTCGTTTGCGCTCGCGTTCCTATTTTGTTGAATTTATCTTGTTTCTTTCTTTTGTTTTTGTTATTAAGTTATTCAAGTTTAGGTTATTCATCGTTTGTAATTAATGTGTTCAAATATATTGAAGAAACTTGGCCCAAAGACACATATCCGTACAAGAAAGAAATCCGTACATCAGATTCAGAATAGTTTCTATTTAAACATGATAATGAAATAGACCCATAGGCAAGGCTCTTGTACGATTTAGGCATTTGTAGTTGTATATGTGTGTATGACAAATGAACGAGTTTAAAGTGAATTTAGTTAAAATTAAATGACGAGAAATATTTGAAGTAATAGTAGGTTAAGTATCTCTGTGTCACGTGGTTTTCTTTGTTTACCTTTAGTTAATTACCTAAACAGATGGACTATAGTGCAATATTTTTTTATACTAGTATTGGTAGCTACAAAGCTTACTGTTGTCTGGGTGGTAATCAGACACTGTAGTCCAAGAACACTTGAAATACTAGAGGAAGCATGAGTGTGTTGGCCGACCAAGTACAAAACTGATTTCAAAATTTTTGCCATATGTCTTTGGCACTTTTTCCAATTAAAATGTCTGGATTATATATTTCTAATGCTGTTTCCACATAACAGAGTGGCTTTTCAGGTAAAATTACATGTTTTTTTCTTATTTTTTTACTTTAAATTAGTATAAATAATGTGTGGTATATACACGGGGAATGAATCCGTTTAGTTGTGGAAACTGACTTAATCAGTGCGTATTGATGTTGTTATGTATTTATTATAAAATATTAGGTGTTATCAGGAAAATTATGATTTAAACATAATCGTAGTGTTTTGCATAATGTTTTAAATACACAAATTATGAAGAAATACAATTTCGTTAACAAAATATCCAGAAATGATATAAAATGGAATTTTATTTCAAACATTTCAAAATACAGTAAAAATAATGCTTGAAAAAACACAACCTGGGTAATCTTCTAGTCTACGTATTTGTGAAAACTAAAAACAGTTATTGTTGGTTCGAAAAAGACGCCTGATACCAAATTGGCATCAAAAAGTACCTTCGACAGTGCAATTTTTGCGGTACTTACAATTATTTTACAGAATAAATTTTTAGTCAGAAATTCACTGAATTCAATGCGCAGTAAATGTAAGTGGATGTTTTACCAGCATTTCATTCAGTGGTGGAGATATTTCGGTATATTTTAGTGCGAAAATTGTGCTTAGTAGTTTTAGTAGATTCATTCAAATGGGGCAGATGTAATGACAAACAGTTTGCAATGTGCACGGGGACGATGGATCGCGACCCGCACCCTCACGGCGCGACACTAATAATATACATAAAAAATATATTTAACCATTGTATATTATTGTATAACGGAGACCGACAACACAGAATGCTATGTCCTTTGCTAAGGAACGTTGAGAAATATTCCAAAAAGAGAAATTTTGCTCCCAAAAATGGAGATTTGAACATCCAAATTACTTGGCAACACTGTTGTAAAAAGCAATCAATGTTGCCAATTATGAATTTTGAACAGTAACAAACAACACAACATTCTGTTACATCGATCTATAACTATTGTACATTGTGGAGGATAAGGGGTGAATCTGGGGGGAGGGGGTGTATATGTTGTGTAAAAATATATCATCTATTAACTAGAGGTGCGCCGTGCGGTAACTTATAACTAGTGCGGATAGCTTCAGTCTTATAGATCGGTCTGTGGGAGTTGTATCAAACTTGGTGCAGCAATTTAGGGGGTATAATGAATCATATAAAGTTAGATCTAAAAGTTTGAGTGTATAAAGTTGAGCGGATAATTTTGTAGTTTATATGACTCACCATACAATATTGGATTGTGGTATTTTCTGAGCCAAAATTCCTAAAATAGTCTCATTTTGACCATAAGTCTTTAACAGGGCCCCACAGACCTCAAAAAATCGTCTGACCCGTGCCCATTCCATGCTGTTTCTTGGGTGCGCGGAGGCGCTTGACTGGGCCCGCGCGGGCGTGAGCTGCGCGCGGGTACTGTGTACCGGACTTACAACTAACTTACACTAACTAGCCTTTTTATTAGACTTCAGAAATTATATTGAAATGATGCTCAGAGACTGGGAAGGGTCCACTAAGTGGAGAATTTGGTAGCAGTCTCAAAGCTGAGATTTTTGAAGAATGTTCGCATTTAAAAACTGATTTCAACGGTACAATCTGTCATTGTTAGATGTCCAGTTGATATAGCTATTTCTATCCATTAAAATACTGGATATGGTCGAGAGATTTATACTGATTGTAGTTTTAGTGACAAATAATGACACAGTTATGTGATTCATGTCAATAATTCACATAGAACTTTACAGTCAGTCATTTTGAAACTATGTCCTAAATATTCTTGTACTTTTTTATCAACTTGATAGATCATTTCTGAAGTTTATCAATAAGGCATTGGATAATTTGGGAGATGTAACTTATAGTGTAGATTTCAATGACGACTAAATAATGCATAAAATTGTATCACATACAATCTTAATTATGATATGAAATTTTGACATTTTATCAGCCAAAATGCTATTCATTCTACTTTTCAAAAGAAATACTTCGATTGAAATCCTGCTAAAGACATTTTTGCCTTATATTACGTTTAAAATTGGTTATAGAGAGCCAGAATCATGTTATTCTGTGATCCACTGTCCCTTGCTTGCCAGAACGGGACACAAGTTTAACAATAGTATGTGAAAATCACTTTAAAACCATACAGTTACATCTCCCAAAAATGATATGAAAGAAACAATATAGTATAACACTTAAATTCTAAGTAAAAAGTTGATAAGACAACTCGGTTTCATATGAACACTTATTTATTATTTAGCAGTCGTTAGATGTAGAAATAAAAGAAAATATTATTTTGTAGAATAGTGTATATGTTGTAATATCAATTCATATTGGTTTGTTAGTTTTTGGTATAAGAAAATAGATAATCTTTGATGTTTAACAAATTAATTACTATCTCTGGTTTGACAGCAAAATAAGGCAAGAAATTTTTATGGATTAAAAGGATTTTTTTTCTTTATTGGCAATCGAGTCTCTAATACTTTATTATCAACTATACTGCCAGTGTCGAGTGGAGACAGATTGAAGAATCGTCGAACTTTAACTTTGCGGTAGTTTTTATTTGTTAGTAGTTAAAACTGTCAAACACAGCGAGGACACCTATTGTTCTTTAATTGTGTCTATAATGACGGTACTCAAAGGGTTAAAAGGATAAACCATTTGGGCTGAGATATCATTGAGTTTATTGGACAAATGTCATACTTAACTCGTCGAGATTAATTTTTAGATTTTTTGTGCCCATTTTAAGACAAGATTATGTATAACATGGGGAGTTCTTTCGAGTATTATTTGTTTAGTAATTAAAAATTGAATTGTTAACCTGATTGAAAAAGAGTAACCTATGGAGTTTATTGCTCGTTCTTCTACATAGGAATCTACACAGTGAAATGAGCAACTACCATAACTTAAATTTTTTTGTTACCTTTCAAAATTGTGTTCCTGGTCTAATTGAAATAAATGATTTTAACTTTGACTTTAGTAAAAATATTTTGAAATTTGTGTAGTTGAATTCATTATTTTTGTATATTTAATAATTTGTTACAATATTTAGTTTTATAGTTGTACTAATTTGTTATGTTGTAGTAATAATTTGTTACAATATTTATATATTATATATATTTCTAACTTAATCACTCAATAAGAAGTTCTCTTCCAACAGACTTCCACAAATAACTAAACATTTTTCAACTCAACAAAAATTACAGATATTTTATATATCTGTAAAAAACCTGTGAAACTTTTTAACCCACGAAACAGAATTTAAAAATACCATGATACAGCATTTAAAAATACCACGAAACAGCAGTTAAAAAGCCAGTAAACATGCTATTTACTATTATGAGACCCCCAAACTCAGTCATAACCTTCAATATATTCTATAGACATAAAAATATTGTATTAAAACCGGTTTTCGTCTGAATTCAATGCCAAGGTGTATCATGGGAGACTTTCTCTGAATAAAAGAAAGTTACCGCAGCCAACCGTCTACTACATTTAAGATTTTTTGCTAATGTAAGGGTGAAAACTGGTCTTCGGGAGATAATTACGTATTTTTAAGAGGAAATAATAGTGATTTTTGCGTGTCCGGATGTTATATTCGTAGTTCCCATGTATTCAAGATGTTTTAAGATTTAAATTCTTTAGAAATATTTTTGGCAGGATGTCTTTTGTGAACGTAAAGAGAAATGGTTATTAATTTCAGATAATAATAAAAATTTTGCAGAATATTATGTATTAACACATTATTTCTGCTTTTTTCGATATAATATTAAGCTTATCCAGGTCTCAAAATATGTTTTTAGGACAAGAATTAACCGATAACAGCATTGAAAAATCTTCAAAAGATCATTAATAATTGTTTCAAACTAAGTTTGACTGAAACGTTGCAATTAATGCCAGCAATGCGGACTGCAGATAGGCATCAAGCCGAGTAGGCTCATAAATAGTCAAATAGGTTTGTAAACACCTATTGATGCCTTTAACTTACAATAGAAACAAGTGTAAATAATGTTCATATAAAACCGAGCTATCAAAAATATCACATATCAGCCTTACTTCTAGAACAGACCAACATATAACTGCTGCGATGGAGCTCGCTGTGCGTTCATCGAGAAGTCATGCAACAAAGTCTAAAGGCCTGTTGAACCCGCCCTTCCTGTTCATATACTGTCTGTACTTACGTTTCAGCACCACATGGACGTCACCTTCAACATTATCATCCACCTTCTTCCCCTTAGTGGAGTCAAACCCACAAAAGCCCATAACTTTAAGCATCTCCTGTTCCTCAGGAGTTTTACCTTCTAGATCCGCTGGGGTGACTATCGGACGCTCGCCGAAGGTCTTCTTGGGCTTCACGAAGGATGTGGAAGGTCCAGGTGATGCAGAGCGTGAGCGGCGGCGGCGCGGCGAGGGGCTGCGTCGGCGGTCCGGGGAGCGCCGCCTACGTTCCAAAGACCGCGAACGGGACCGGGTCCGAGGCCTCCGCCTCTCACGGTCCCTATCCCGGTCTCTCTCCCTGTCTCTGTCTCGATCTCTGCGCCTGTCATCGCGCCGCCGCGGGCTGGGCGAACGACCCATGTTAACCTGTTGCAACATTTACATTATTAACACACAATTTACAACACAAACTTCATCAGTAGCAATAACATAAAAGGTAGACCAATATTTACCTCAGTTTTAAGTCAACAGTTTTAAAATTTTACTAAAAACAAAAAGTAACAATAACGCACAACCTAGTCCAACGCCATTTTGAGAGTGAATGACTGTTGAACGAATGAAATCGAACAAGTCAACGAAAACTTTTTGGGACCGGTTTTTCGTTTTGTTGTACGTTGAGCATCATTTTTAATTTCGTTTTTTTTATTCATTTCTCATTAATCAATAAGAAACAGAACTTAATATATTTTAAATATATAAATATTTTATATTTATATTTCTACAATATTATAAAAAATATTTTAAGATAAAATCTGTCTGCACACGACGAAACAACGAAACGCTAAGTTACGTTTCTATGTACGAAACTCTGTCGATCATTCAATCTTGTAGAAAGAAGTCAAGATACAAAAAAATAACAAAAATATGATTTTGGTAATCGGGTAATAATCAAGTAACTGACTGAATGTTAATTTTTATACATAATAGTCTTTGTTTAAATTTTGTGTACTTAGAAATAAATACAAAAGATATACTTTTTTTTTTTTTTTTTTTTTAAGGGGGGAAAATCATCGAATGACTGCTCCCGCCTGGGTGAGGCGGAAGGGAGTGTCAGACTCTTACTGACTAAAAACCACCCGTTCCTTCTCCTGCACGTCGAGCCGGAGCCCCGGTTACCCGTTAGGTTCTCCGCGACTCCGAATCGGCATCGGCCCTATTGGGCCCCATCTGTGGTGGTCTGATGGCTCTTTGAGGCGCGCGCGGAACGCGACGCGCCGTACGCTCGGGTCTGTTTCTGGTCGGACGGGGAGCCACCCATGCTCGCCGTCCGCAGGCCCGCGCTTACGGTGGCCGGAGATCGTCTCGCGATCCCCGACGCCCGGTGTGTCCTTCGCGATGGCTGGGTTGCGAGGAGGCAGCGCTTCGCTGCCTCACGCGTCCCGCCTCCTCCTTAGCTAGCATGACTGCTTCGCAAAAGGAGGAGACGGCATCCCAATCCCCCTCGCTCCGCATCATGGCCTGCACTAGGCCCGGACGCGAGAGGTCGCCATCGCCGATCACTTCCCTGAGGGCACGGCGGTGCTCAGCCCACGCAGGGCATTCTCCCACTGTGTGTTCCACCGTGTCCTCAGGGCGGTCCTCGCAGTGATGACACCCGGGCGTTTCCTCCCGCCCCATCAGACACAGGTACCTCCCGAAACTTCCATGTCCGGTGAGGACCTGCGTCAGGCGGTAGGTGAGGACGCCGTAGCGTCTCTCAAGCCACTCCTCAAAGAGGGGACTTACCGCTGCAATGGCAGCGAGCCCAACAAAAGATATACTAATGCTGCGTGAAACGAAACCTAGCATTCCAGTGTTGTCCAGTTAGCAGAAATGCCTAAATAAGTGGACTTATTATTGAAAAAATATTTGTAATTGTTTTCTAGCAATATTTATAACTTGATTGTGTCGTCTGCTATTAAAAATAGTTGATAATCTAATTTTATGTAGAAGGATCTGTAGTCAAAATTGACAATTAATGGTTTATGATGAATAGCTTTTGTCCGCGGCTTCGCTCGCGTCACAAAAGAATAAAAAGTAGCCTATGTGACATATACCAATACACACAGCGCCATCTATACCAATACTTTTGTTTTTCCTCGGGAATATCAATTTTTACCGGGTTAAGAAGTACCCTATTATTTAATCCGGACTTCTAACTTTACGTCTGCAAAAATTCAAAGCAATCGGTTGAGTAGTTACGGCGTGAAGGTGGAACAAACAAACAAACAAACAAACTCACTTTCAGATTTATAATATTAGTAAGGATAGTAAGGATAAGGATAGTAAGGATAGTAAGGATAAGGATTAGTAAGGATGACTATTCAATCACTACAACGTAGCTCCCATTTACTTTTCAAGACCTTGTTGAAAACAAAGAACAAATTCTAGTTCTAAACAGAATCAAATAATCTACAGAGTTTTATTGAAATAGATCAGAAGGGGTAAGTACAACTCAAATTATTGTAACACTGGAGACAACAGCGCCATCTAAAGCGTGGCTTCCGATGTCAGTCGATAGCAGCGACGCTACGGCGAAAAAACGAAACTCGCGCCGACATCGATCTACTCCGGTGGCGTGTTACAGAAATTCTTTTTTTACGAACGAATTATTGAAATAAACGCTCTACGCGTAATGTCGGTGGTGCTGGTGCTTTGAAACATAACGAACAACGTTTTGTGCATGTTATTTTATATAATGTTACCTCGTTTATGTGCTTAGTGTAAGTTACAATCGCTATCCGATAAGTGTGTGAAGTGACTCAAAAATCGAGATTTTAACGCGTCTTGGAGATCTGCCGGTGAGTATTGCGTGTGTTCAGCTTTCTTTTGTACATATTTGTTTACATTAACATTAGGAACGAGGTGGTTTTATGTCGGTATGCGTTTTTTTCGTCATCCGCGATATAGGGTGTGTCTAGCAATGCTAATAGGAATTGGGTCGGATTTTTTTAGTCCGTACTCTCTTTATATGTATCGTTATCGGCGATATGACTACACTGGCGTGTTCTGTGATAACTTTGATGCATTGCGCGCTAATCTAATGAGTTTCCGACAGATAAATGTTGAGAAAATGAAATGTATAAGAAATCGCGTTTATAACTGGATCTAACACTGAAATATAGTGTTTTCTTGCATTTGTATACCTGTAAAGTAAGTTTAATCTTTTTCTTTGGGCGTGACACTAATCAATTACATATTATCTCTTCAATAATGTGAGCTGATGTCACCGCGTAAGTTCGGTACTATATAACCCGGCCGAATATGGTACAATGCTACTCTAACGCGTTTATAACACGGCTTAGGTGTGTTTTTAATTTGGTAGGATAGTACGGCTGGTGTAATGGGCCAAATTGCTGGCTGATTGGACGACCGGCGGAGATTCTTTGCCGTGATTTGATCTCTAAAGACTTTTTTTTATATTCTTATTTGATTCATTCATTTATTACTATCCTATATTTTGCTGGGATAAGTCATGAATGTGTTCGTAATTAGGTATCTAGCGCTAATTAGCTGGGTCTAAAGGTTGTATGCTGTGGAATGTTGCTACATGATATTTATTTCGCGTTCATATCTAAAGAACTTCGTATGTATAGTTCGCGATGATGTATCGTAATTTCGTGTGTTGTAATTTCATCTCTTGTCTTTGCAATCAATATTTTTTTTGTAAGCTGTTTTTGAATAACAGAACTGGATACTTACTCATACAAGATAAAAGAGTCAGTTTCTATGTGTAGTGTTTAAAATTATTTAATATTAACCAGTATAGAGTAATAATTGATTTGAAATTAGCTATTACCCGTGGCATAACACTTATATTCAAAAAAGCTTATATTAATTTTGAATCACTCAAAGTAATTATTATTATCTTGAGGTACAGTGACCACCACATCAATCTACTCTAACATGCATTTTTATCATTGGATTTTCGACTTTAAATGTCTAAATCACAATGTTGTAAATCTAATAAAGAACTTTGACAGAAATGGTTAGGTTGACATGCATGCTGCCTACTGTACAAAGATCACATGTAAACTCCATTGAACAATGGCATCATAACATAACATCACACCTTTTATCCCCGAAGGGGTAGGCAGAGGTGCATATTATACCACTGTACAATGTAACACCCACTTTTCAATATTTATGTTATGAGTCCCATGTAATAGGGGGTGAGACTAAGTGAACAATGACAAACATACAAAATACAGACTCCTATATGTATAAATGAGTTTTCTAAGTAAATTATTGACTTGAAAGTGGATATATATATATAATAAAATGTATACTTGTAAGTCTTGGAGTGGATGCTTCACCCAGTTCTGTGTAGATTAGATAATACATACTTATTATTTCATGGTCTTTCTATATGATTAAGTATCAAATACTTTACAATGAGCATTTGTGTCCAGTACATGGCTATACACTCACCCCCTATTCTATGTGACTCATAACATAAAAAGTAGTGAAAAGTGGGTGATACATATTACAGTGGCATTAAGTGCTGTAATGTGCACCTATGCCTACACCTTTGGTGATAAAAGGTGTGATGTTATATGTAAAACTTAAATACTCTGGAATGGCTGGACTTTTATTGGTAGTTAGCTGATGTACTAAGGAGTACATTATAATAATAATAGCCTATGTTACTACATTAAATTTTCTGCCTAAGGTGGGCCATAAAACTACAAAATATTTTTTTAATGTTTGGCTTGTAGTGAAACTGTCTTTATGATCCAACTAGCTACTTCCGCGCGGTTTCACTCGCTCTGCTCGGCGCTTCGGCGCTTATTAATCGTAGCGTGATATTTTATAGCCTAAGCCTTCCTCGATAAATGGGCTATCTAACACAGATAGAATTTTTCAAATCAGACCAGTAGTTTCGGAGATTAGCGTGTTCAAACAAACTCAAAAAAACAAACTCTTCAGCCTTATAATATTAGTATAGATAAATAATTTTGCTTACACAGCTTGCACTACTTACATCATTAAACTTTAAAAACTTTAAATAAATTGTTTTAGTTAATATTACAAAGAGGAAAATACAAAATTACCTTTATATATATATATATATTTATTATCAAATCTAATAACTGTTCTAAATCATAAAAATAAGTACCTACTTCATAATTAAATTAATATTTTCCTCGATTGTAAAATATAATTGAAGTGATTTTACCTTATTATGACTGTCTCGTTGGCCGAGTGGTCGCTAGTATGACTGCTGGGCGAGGGGTCTCAGGTTCGATACCTAGGTCGCCAAAAGTATTACTTGAAAAAAAATCACAGTAGTAGCATTTAGTGTTTGTGCCCGGTATATAGGCTCACCCCCTATTACATGAGACTTATAAGTAGTAAAAAGTGGGTGTTACATTGTACAG